CCCCCATTTGTTTTGTAGAATTGTACTAGGATCTGCATTGTAGCAACTATCCATCAGAGGTTTCTGTCATTACTAATGGCTTTCAGAGTGATTAGACTGTCAATAAGTCTAATGGCCATGACAGAAAAAGTCTTAATTGACATACAAAATAAAAGAATTGTAAATAACAGCTTCTTTCAAAAAGTAGCTGATGTATATATTTTTTTTATTTCAGAAAGGACTCACACCAGCTGCTGCAGTTCATACCAATAAAGAAGATCCAGCTACCCAAACAAATTTGGGATTTATCCATGCATTTGTGGCTGCCATATCAGTTATCATTGTATCTGAACTGGGTGATAAGACATTTTTTATAGCAGCCATTATGGCAATGCGCTATAACCGTTTGACAGTGTTGGCTGGTGCTATGCTTGCCTTGGGCTTAATGACGTGCTTATCGGGTAAGTAAGTGTACTTTTCCTCCTAACAAGTTTATTGGATTTAGGCAAAAGCATGGTGTTTGGCATTGAGTCACTAAATCATTCAATTTGGCTCATGTTCAGAGTTTTGTAAAGAGAAAATGGTTTTAGTACATAAATTCCTAAAAACGATACTGCATTTTTAAAATTAATTGTTCAGCTATTCAGTCAAGATACACACTCATTTATTCCCTGTATTGGAACCCTTGCTTTTGCTGTGTATTCTTGCTGCTTTTCCTTTTCAGTCCAGGTAAGCTTATTTCTGGACTCACGCAACCACAGAGAATTGCATATTCTCCTGTTCAAGGACATTTGATAACAATAACTGAGGAGTCACTTTTGGTTTATTATGTTCTATTAAGTTATTCTTACCTATTACAGTAAAGGAGTGAAACATTCTTAGATACCTAGTTTGTGCTGCTATTATATAGGCTTCAATTTTTCAAAGAATGAGACTATGAGAAAGTAAACTTACTATTAAATAAACATAATTTAGTCTCTTATTCAGAAGCAACCCTGAGCCTTGTACGTGGGTAGAAAATAGTAAGCTTCCTCCTTAGAGTCAGACTTGGGTCAGAGTCTGACTGTGCCGTGTATTAGTGTAATGATAAGTTACTTAACCTCTTTGAGTTTCAGGTTCCCTGTCTGTAAAATGGAAATAATATCGACCTACCTTACAGGGTTGTGATGTGTTTTTAAAACGAGATCTTACATTTCAAGTGCTCAGTCATTCACCCCTCTTCTTCTCTCGGCAAGTTCTATTTCTCGCTGCTTGGATGCTTGTTAAAGTCTTTTAAAACATGAGTATTTTAATGATTAAAATAATTTGACTACTTTTCATATTTTAGAATATTAGCATTATTTGTATTTCACAGTAAAAACAGTTTTTAAAAGTAAATTTTGATTATAGGAAAAGTGGGGAGAGTTGTAAATGGTAAAATTACTTGTTTGGAATGAGTTTCAATAATATCAGAATTTTATTTTTGAAACTTTGAGGATAACTAGAAGGCTAGCCTCATTCCCACCTCAGAAGCTGCTCCATCAGTTCCCCCTCCTTTGTGTTCACTTCCATTTCTTCAGCTGTAAGTGGAGTTAGTCTCTCCTGTCCTGACCTTCGGCCCACCTCACTCTAGCTGCTGGTACTGACAGCTCTCCTCACCTGTAATGTTTAAAAGAGGTCGTATCTGTGGTCTTCAAACCTTTCCCTCATGTATCTAAAATAATTTTGAAAAAGTATGTACCCACTGTCACATTGATGGTAATCCAAAACTTGTCATATTAAGCTTAAGGAGTTACAAAGATCTAATTTCTGATATATTGTATAAAAAAAACTATATAGTATTCTTCTAAAACATACCCAGTGGACCCCAAATACCATTAGCAGTTTAATAGCCACTGTCACCATCAATCCTTCAAAAAGCATGAATAAACTCTTTAACATTTGGAAATGTACATTGTTCTTTTTCCTCCTTATTTTCATTTACTTTTCTCATAGAATTTTACTCTTAACAATTACAAGTTTTTACTTGAAAATCTTTTGGATCACACTGTCCTATTTATTTGTTGCAAAAATATGTATATAAATTGAATTTTAAAAGATGCTGAAAATGTTCTTTAAGTCTGTAAATGTTAACACTTTTTATGACTGGAGTTATAGTTATTAGTATACAGTTGATCAAAGCAAAATATCACAAATTTAAACATTTTTGAATGCCTTTCTTAATCAGATAGTACAACTATTATTTTTTCTAATCCTCACCTGAGGAAACATTTTTATTGATTTTAGAGAGAGGAGAAGGGGGAAAAAGAAAGAAATATCAATGTGAGAAACAAACATCAATCTGTTGTTTCCTGTATGTGCCCCAACTAGGGATCAAACCCACAGTCCAGGTATGCGGCCTGACTGGGAATCAAACCTGCAGCCTTTTCGTGGACAGGATGACACTCAACCAACTGAGCCACCCAGTCAGGATGATGGAACTATTATTTTAAAAATTAGTTTATATGTCTGTGGAAACATTGCTAGTATGGAGCAAGGTTTAGAATCAATTCTGAATTTTTTTTTTTTTTTTTTTTTTTTTAAGTAGATACAAGGGCTGAGAAATTTTATTCACATAAATAATTAAGAAAGAATTTTGTTAGACCATGTCACTCAGTTCCTTGGAACTCCTGGGTTATATGCTAAAAATCACATACTGGTTGGTCTGTCATCAAAAATGATATTTAATGATTTACCAGCTGATAATAACTTGTTGATTTTGTTGAAAGCAGACAATTAGAAACCATCAAGTATACCAAAAAAGGTTTTTCTGAAATTTATGAAATTACTGTTCTTATACATGTTAGTCTTATGTTACCTTGTATAACTGGATATACTGTATTTAGAAATGGTTGCAAAAATTGAAATACTGTTCATTTCAGTGTACTTTTGCCAATAAAGCATTTCATTTTAAAAGTTGTATCACATCATGTACTTTAAGTATATTATCTTGGAACCTCAGAACTGCAGATTTAGCTTATTTAATTTATGGAAAATGTCTACTGCATTACCTAATTGCCATGGCGGTTATAGTAAGTCCACAGTAAATCATTTAAGTCAGGCTAATTTTCTGGCAGAAAGCATTGGACTTAGTTTTTTGAATTTAAATAAACATGATATACATCCCCATGACAACCGTCTACTTTAGAATTCTAATTCTAAGATGGATGGATGGATTTGGCATGGAACCCAGCTGTGAGTGTGCCACCTGGGGGAAATAAGACACCGAGCTTTAGTATGTCTTTCTGATGCTCTTTGCTGTAACAAGACTCTGCCTTAGGGAAAATGAATTGTTTACACTGGCTGGGGATAAAAAAGGCATGGTTTTTAAGTGAAAATTATTACTGCTAAGGCCAAAGTACCGTATTTCTGATGCCATAACCGTTATTTCCAATGACCATAATGCATTATTTTAATGCCATGACCTTGTCAGAAACGTGTGTAGGACAGGGAAGAGCCAAAGCCGTGTCTCTGGTTTATGATGCCTTGATTGAGGACACCAGTATTTCACACACCCTCTTTGGTGCCCTAGAATTTCTGTTTTTCTTACTATGGGGAAGTGCACCTTAGGAAGTTGGGTAAAGGAGTCTTTGTAAAGTGGGTAGAGGGCAACCATGAAGAAGGGATGAGAGAGGAGAACCTGCGTGACTCCTTAACTATAAGCATGTTTTCAGGCAGATGAGTTTAGGAAAGAGTATAGCATAGAAGTTGAGCTGGAAATATTCTTTCACAAACTAGTCGTCTGTGTCCCCTTCTAAAATCGTGTGCCCTTGGGGGTATGTCAGTCAGTTTGTAGATTGCTCACCTGTGTCTCTTGTGTCTCTGCTTTAGAGGGCCAACAGTGCAAGGTGGGCTGCCTGGGCTTGTATCCAGGCTCTGCCTCTCACTTAGCTGGGGGGATTTGCCCAGCCTCTCTGTGCCGTCTGACAGCAGGATGACAGTCTTACCCACTTCAGAGCTTTATTATTACTGCTGTTGCCCTCCTCCCCTTTCACTCCTTACCCACTCGCAGTCAGACTTCTGCTTCTAACCCTGTTGTAAAGGCTGACGATCAGCTTCCTGGTTATAAGCCCAGTTTTCATTTTAGTGAGCCCCACAGATCATGTTCATGGGCTTGCCCAACTTTTTATTCTCTTCTATGACACCATGTGCTTCTAGTTAAATTTCTCTCTCTCTGAAAAAAAAATTGGTACTATAAATATTGATATGCTCTACAGTTTCGTTCTTGGCCCATTTGTTTCCCTCTCACACTAACATTCTCATGCTGAGTGTTCTCAAAGTAATTAGTTACCTGTAAGTTAGTGATTCCCCAGTCAGTATCTTCACTTCAGATACTTTTCTTGTATAAGGAATTCATTTTCTTTCATAACATATATTTATTTTAAACAGTTACAAAGGAGCAGAGTTGAAGTCACGCCATATGAGAATCTTGTTAAGGTCTTACACTGTGGAAGTTTGTAATTTAAAGATTTGTGATGAAGAAATATCACTTACATGGGAATTTGGTATAACTTCCAGGTTGTAAGATTTCTGGATCCTTAGAGGGCATCCAAGTTAACCTTCTGCCTAAAGTACTAGACGTGTCTAGAGAGGAGTTCGTTATCTCATAAGAGGCGGCTATGGAACGCATGCTGTCTCCAACTGGAACGCTGATTTCTTGATAAGCTATATTACATCATTGGCTAGACCTAAGGGTTCAAGACACTATCAGTGAAGGGAAAGAAGTGGAATTATTTGAAGTAATTACGTATTAGGTTCTAATGCAAACCATTATTCCTTTAAAACAGTAAATTATGGTTTCTGAAGGTAACTATTCTTTGGTTGTGATACTTGCTGATTAACCAGATATACTGTGGCATTGTCTTCTAGTGTTGTTTGGCTATGCTACCACAGTCATCCCCAGGGTATACACCTACTATGTTTCAACTGCGTTATTTGCCATTTTTGGCATTCGAATGCTTCGGGAAGGCCTAAAGATGAGTCCAGATGAAGGCCAAGAGGAACTTGAAGAAGTACAAGCAGAATTAAAGAAAAAAGATGAAGAAGTAAGTCATAGCAGTTAAATATCTGGACCAAGAGGGCACTCAGCTAAGCACACACTATCCAGAGGGTTCCATGGTTCCCCATAGCTGTGCGATATGTGGGATACACAAACAGATTATTTTGCCTAGTTTTTATTCTCACACCTGGCTGTGTTATGACTGGGTTAGTGTGAATGTGGTAGAGAGAGGAGGTGGGGATGAATACTAAATGTGTAATCAGGTTCCTTAGATTAATTTTAAACTGAAAAGCAGGAACTGTAGTTTATAATTTTACATTTTTTCCCACAGTATGTAGGCTAGCAAGTGATCAGTAAATACTGTTTGATTTGTTTTGTTGGGGAGGAATGGAAGAATTGAGAATATAGTATTTGTTGGTGAGACGGTGATTCAGAAGGTAAGCTTGGGGTCACCTAACTTTTAGTTTCTCCTTGGAGCCTGTTCCATAGAATTTTAACACTTTTTAAAGAAACATTAAGTAATTTTGTGCAGCTTTGTTCGCTTCCTGAGACTAATGTCATTTTCTTTTTTTAATTTAGTTTCAACGAACTAAACTCTTAAATGGACCAGGAGATGTTGAAATGGGTGCAAACACGATACCTCAGAAAAAGTGGCTGCATTTTATTTCACCCATCTTTGTTCAGGCTCTTACATTAACATTCTTAGCAGAGTGGGGTGATCGCTCTCAACTAACTACGATTGTTTTGGCAGCTAGAGAGGTGAGTGAGCATAACTAATTGCTCCCGAGGACACTGGACAGAGTCACAGGGTGGGCCGAGGGATTATTTCGTGTGCTAGATTATTTGTTTTAGATAGTAATCCTGCTACTCTTCAGAACGGACCTCCTCCCATTTCTGCAGTCAGTCGGATGATAGTGTGTGCAAACTTATTGCTCTCGACTCATCAGGCTGAATCCTCTCCAGTTTTGCCAAAATGATGCTGTGGTGCTTGGCATTCTTTTCTTAGAACTTGCCTTTATATACTACTAGCTAAGAATATAAGTTGATATAAACTTCTGAAGGTCAGTTTGGCATTAAATATCTAAAACCATAAAAGTGGGTATCTTTGGGTTCTTCCCTTCCTTGTGTTAAAGAAATAATGTTGCAAAGATGACTTAGAAAATTTACATTTTAGCCCCAGAATAATGAGTCCTAGGATGATGGTAAGTCAGAATAGACCTGATCATCTGGTTCTAGCTTAGGCTCTACCAAGAGAGAACCTGAGGCCCATAAGCTAGTGGGTAGCAGTCTGTCTTTTCTGCTGTATCTTGTTCATAGTTATCAAGTGCTACTTAAAAGATACCCATCTAAATTTAAAGTTTATTTCTTTTGAGGGCAATAGTAAAGTTTTACATGAAAAGTATTAATATTCGCAGAGATTTATCGAGATTAGCTGAGGAGGTGGGTGTGGAGTTTTTGGAATGCACTGCTGCTACTTTTCATGCTTGTCTTCATCAACTAATATTGTTTGATTGTGTATCTGTTAAATTACATTGTTTTTATCTCATGGTAGGATTTAGATAACTAGCTTGATGATTTGTTTTTAATTCCTAGGAAGTATAATAAAAGAACAGGTTCCTTAATAAAGACCACAGTTAATTAACATAGTTGGGGCAGGGCCGTTTTGTCAGAGGAGCTTCAAAACTGCTGTATTTTAAAATATGATTCCCATATTTTAAAACAAACTCTCTTTTAAAAAGTCACTTGAATGTCTTTGCCCTATCATTTTCTTGATTTCTAGCCTTTTTTACTGGCTTTCAGATCCCAGAATTGGGACTTGAATGTATTTTGTTAGTGGAGGTGGCAGTCCTGCGTGAACTATCATGAGGGCAGAGTCACTGCATTTTTCTTAATACTGTCATCTGAGTGGCACAGTGGCTTGTGAAAGCTCAGGGTTCCAATTCTGCATGAGTTACCTTGGTCTAGCAGTGTGGCACATGCTGACTGGGTTCGAGTCTTGCTTTGTGACCCCATTTCGACAGTGCCTCCCTTCGGCCCCGTTTGTGGATTTTCTGTGAAACAGGATAATGCATGTAGGGTCCCCAACACAGTGAGCCCTCAGTTAGCCACCTTCCACACTGCTGGCACCACGGGGATATATAGTGAGCTCTTCAAGGGCAGAAATACGGTTATCTGTTTCTGTTCCCCTTTTCTTTTTTTTGGTAATTTTTTGTGTAAACCATGCGGTCTAGTTCAGTCCATTTTAGCCTGAACTTCATTTCTGCTTCCAACATAATTTAGTGTTCCCACATGGACGTCAGAATCCTAGTGTCTTTTGACATGTTACTGTACTAGTTAAAGAAAAAGTTGGGTCAACTAAATTTGGCAATAATGCATCCTGGTTTTCTGTTTTGAAGACTGAGTATGCAAAATAATAAAGACTGAAAAATCCTGTATTAAAGGAACTATTTAATTTTATTTAATCCAGTGATTTTTCAAGTAGAATGAAAACATCTTCTGGCTTACCGGTTCTAGAAGTTGTAATACACACTTTGGGAGATGCAGTCCCATGCTTTTCTTCTCAGATGTTTCAAACCATCTCCATCTCCTCAGTTTCTGCACACACACTCCTGCTTCTCAGCAGACAGCCTCACCTGCCACTTCAGAGAGAAGTCATTCCGCTCCACTCCCACCCATCCCAGTGGCAGTCCTTTTCCCTCCTGTACTCTGGGTCCCAGCCCCCATGCACAGCTTAAATCTTTGCCTTTCTCCCAACCCAATTTTGTGAGCATTTTAGCCTGCAGATGTTTTTTCATCGAAAAGAAGCTTTATCCCTTCTTTGGTTCTATGTCTTTCCCAAATACCACCCTGTTCCTCCCTTTCCCTCAGTCTCAAAGGGTTTGACTGATGGGACAAGGCTTGGCTCTGCTTCCTTGCTTACGAAGCCCACAAGCTCTAGTTTCTGGCCTCACCAGTGATGTTGATACCGTGCTTTGAGATCATGGCAGCCATCAACGGGCCCCGCTTTGGTCATCTTGGGGGGCTGTTTGCCTGGCCTCCTTTTCAGTCTCCTTTGAGCGCCACTTCCTGTCGTCACCCATAAAACCCTTCTCCATTGCTTCCCCTACATTTTTAATCACAGTGGTATCACCATCTTTTATCCAGAGAATTACAACTGAGAAACTTGGTTGTCATGTTGAGGACACTGGAGAGTAAGGATGCAGGGTCACTTAGCCTCTGCACAGACAGATGCTGCTAAGGAAGACTGTCTAGGTTAAGTCTCCTTAGCACTGAGCTAACTGTTGCCTGTGAATTAAGTTTAACAACAAATGAAAGGTTGAATTAGGGTTATTTTCATCTTACACATTGAGTTTTTTCTACTTTTCTCTCTAGTCCTAGTATAACTGAAACATATTCCTTTAGGCGGCTGTTACATTTCATAAACACGCATCGTAACTTTTAGGCTGGTTTTGTTGTGTCGTCATTGATCTCCATTTTCAGTGCTTCACAGTTAGTTACCTTTCTCAGGTGGCAGTTCCAGCCCCTTTTAAGTTAATGTTGCTTTGTTTCCAGGACCCCTGTGGCGTAGCTGTGGGAGGGACCGTGGGACACTGCTTGTGCACTGGGCTGGCTGTGATCGGAGGACGCATGATAGCACAAAAAATCTCTGTCAGAACCGGTACGTGGGGTTTTTCTTTTTAATTACAAAGAAAATACCGTATGTTTTAACTCTTGGAATCACAGAGAGCTGAGGAAGGAAAGGGGCTGTCTGTTTTATTTTTTTAAGTGTTCACTTCTGAAGTAGACTTGGTCTTCGTAATGAAAACCTCTTAGAGATCCAGTCATTGTGTTGCCCCTGCTCCTGCAAACATGGACTGTTTTTCACATGAGTAGATATTGGAAAGTACAGATTCATCCATAAGCACTCCTAGACTCATGGTAATGAATCTAGTAAATGAAGTCAGTAAAAAACAATCATCATGTGGAAATATGAGAACTTTTTGGCCTAAGAATATGTCTTACGAGGTTGGGAATCAGAGGTACTGTATTTACTCATTCTGCTGAAACGTCCTGTGCATGTGGTAGGCCCGAAAGATGCATGTCTCTCTGCTAGCCAGAAGTTGTTGGACGTGCTCTTTCGTAACGGGTTTAAGATGAGTTCTAGTTCTACTGTTACTTGTCAGTACAATTCTGTCATTTCTCAAAACAGTGCTGGAGAAGACACTGATTCTGACTGTTCACAGTCAGGCACGATAAGTGTTCTTTGCTGTGGAAATGGGGTCTAAGCATTTCTAATTTGTTTTTAAGGTTAATTTACTAGATTGGAAGAATAATGGGTAACATCTTGTCTTCCACGTGGAGGAATTTTGCATTATTTAACTTTTTTCTCCTCTCTTACAGTGACAATCATAGGAGGCATCGTATTTTTGGCGTTCGCATTTTCTGCACTATTTATAAGTCCCGATTCTGGTTTTTAACAAGCTCTTCATTCGTATTTAGTTTAAGATAGGTAACTCCTGTGTGTATGTACATAGTGTACATGGAAACTAAAAGTGATGAAAACTACTGTGTTTTGTAGCAATGAGTTATTATGTCCAAAAGAAATAATCATTGATTCTATTTGCAACATGGATTTTTAAAAGAAACCTGATGTCTAAGTGTGGATTTTTCTTTTCTCCAGTGTAATTATGTTAATACAGCCTCTGTTTTGAGGACTTTTTTGGCTTTTGGGGGGGCGAGGGGGCAGTATACACAGAACCATTGTGCAGTGAGGTCTACCATTTAATTTTATTTTTCAGCACTGATCACTTTATAAGGAATATGTTTTTTTGCCCTGGATCACTGAGGTGCTTTCAGATGTTTATCTTACAATTTTTCTTGGGGGAAGAATGAGTTAATTTCTATCTTTTTAAAGCATTCCTCCAAACCAGTAAGCAGTAGTTTAATCCTAAATCTTTTCAAAATTAGGTTAAAAAAGAGAGAGCAAGAAAAGTATGTTAATCAGCTCTTCCACATCCAGGGATTCAAACCACCACAGATGGAAAATACTTGAAAAAATGTTACATTGTTATTGACATATATATACTCTGTGGTTAGGCCTACAGTGGAGGGTTGTGTCTGTATGGAATATATACAGACTTTTCCTGTCATTACTCCCTAAATATAGTATAACAACTATTTACATAGCATTTATATTGTATGAGGTATTATAATCTAGAAATTATCTAAAGTAGATGTGAGTAGGTTATATGAAAATACTCCACCATTTTATATGAGACACTTGAGCATCCTTGGGTAGACGGGAGGGCCCTGGAACCAGTCCCCCTCAGACACCAAAGGACAACTGTACTGTTATATCAATAACATGACAAGAATTGTTTGCCAGGCCATTCTTCCTCTTTTTAAAAAAATTGGGTAGGAAACCCAATATAAAAGAGTCAATATTTGACAACGTGGAATTACCAAATTAAAGGAGAATACTATGAGTGTATTCGTATTTTTTCTATATTGAATAAACAATGTAACAGATACAATGTAAATAAAAGTGGTATGACCAGTGTTTGTTTTCCCTTTTGTGTTATACAAGTTCTTTCTCTATTTTATCAAAGTAGTATTAATATTTATAAGACCTATTTCTAAAGTTGATGTAAAAAAAAAGTCCGCCTAAGGTTACATGATAGACCAGGGAGTCAAGTCAGTTTCATTCTACAATCATCATGGTGAGGCTCCCTCATTTTATCATAGGAACTTCAGTAATCACAGGCATGTAATTATATTCTAACTTGACTACTAACTATATTCCATCCAAGCAGCATAATTGCTTTCTCCTAGCCTGACATGTTCTATTACATATGCAGTAACTCTGCCTCTTCAAACCCAAAGGACAGTTCTATAGAACCTCCCACATGTTCCTTGTGTGACTGAGCTACTACAAAAGTCCTTAGTTGGTAGTACACTTGTAATATGAAAAGATTTAGGAAGAGTCTAATCATGCATAATATAATCGCCCAGCATTGTCGATGTAGCAACCATTCTGCACTAGTAACTTTGTGGGAAAGACAGCTAACCACTACTGGGAAGAGATCTAAAAGCTGTCAGTTAAAAAGTAGCAGTGCATGTGCCCAGCTGGTGTGGCTCAATGGCTGAGCACCAACCCATGAACCAGGAGGTCACAGTTCAATTCCCGGTCAGGGCACATGCCCCGGTTATAGACTCAATCCCCTGCAGGGGGCGTGCAGCAGACAGCGCATCAGATTCTCATCATTGATGTTTCTCTCCCTCTCCCTCCCTCTCTCTCAAATTAATGAAAAGGAGCAGTTAGCACACACTGATGAAAAAATCATGTTTCAAAACATTACGGTAGTTACAGAACCCCTTAAAAGTGTCCATTACAGGGTAGAAAAACTGTCCATGAGTTAGAATAAAGCAGTTCAAAGGAATTTCAGATTAAGTCCCCAGACTGCACCATCATTCTCTGCAGTTAGATACCCCTATTACTGCCTTAGATTATTATAAACAGAACGAGAAAGGAATTATGTTCTTTTCCAAGAACACAAAGGACAATACCATCAGAGCCCCAACCTGGCGATGCAGGCGACCAGGCCTAGGACCAGCTGAACATGTGAATAACAGCATAGCTTTCTGAGGCACCGCAATCTTGTAACTGTACATAATTACCCAATTTGGTAGCTCAGACCTAAGCTACAAGGTAAAAGTCACTAATGTAGGTAGACTCTACTGCTGAATAAAAGAAAGGAAAATTTCATTGGTAGTGATTTTAAAATATTTAATACTCTTCTCTTTAAAATCCAAAATAATGTAATTCTTACAAGTTAAGTGCCACATAAAGCAGGTGTTATTTTTTGAGAAATGTAGGTGATACTGAAAACAGCACTGAGGTATTTTTTATTTTTAAGATTGAATAAGGAAACAAAGTCTGGACCTAATCTTTTTACATTTAAAACAACAACAATGCTACTGCTTGGCTCTTCTGCTGTAATTTCAGGTTCTGAATACATTACAAGGGTATGGGAAAGAGCATCATAATAGTACATGTAGTTCTGAAAAACTGCACGTCATAACCTGGAAAAATGATCATATAGCAAGAGGCCTGAGTGAAGGTAGGCTAGTAAAACATTTTTACCTCTTCAAGGATAGCTCTGAAAAACAAGTGTAACCAATTGTAACACCAGATTAAAATGGTATCAAATAGGTAACAAAATGACCCACATTTTACACAATATTGTATTTCCACACATAGCTCATGAAAATCAGAGAACCTAATATAGCACCGTTGAAACCATTCATTATCCCTTCTGGCTTCTGTATAATTTAGGATTTGGGCTGAAGACAATACCTGGAAAATGTCATTCTCGTTTTTTATAAATCAACTTGGACTTCAGTTCAATGTCTGCTTTAGTAAAAAGAGGTATTCTATGTCAAGATCAGTTAGCCATTTATAGCTTCACCCTTTCAGAAGAATGTTAGGCTGCATCTAATTTTTATTTAAAACCAAGAACCAAGCAGTAGGGACAGCAATGTAACACACAGAACATAAGAATTCGGTGTATGCTTTTACAGCTACCAAGTGGTGTTAACAATTAAAAATTTACAAAGATAAAATTTTTTTTTTTGCACTAACTGGTTTCATTACAGCACGGAATTTAACTCATCTTTGGGCTTCAATCTTTACACAGTAAATGTGCAAGTGCCATACAGAGGTCCTTCTCCAACTTAGGCCACAATACAATAGCTTTCAAAATAATTCTAGAATGGTCGAAGTTACAGCTTTCATAGCTACTGAAAAAGTAAAAGACATTTTCTGTCCAATTTTTTTTTTTGCTTGATGATGATTGTCTAATTATATAATACATCAATCTGGAGATAATACAGCTTTTCCTACATTTTAACACCAGTCCTGGCACAACCATTGCCAGCAGTGAATTTGTACCAGTACACGCCAACTCAAGAACACATATTACGAAACATTTGAATGTCGTTTTTTTAAGCGATGTCACAGTTTGTTTCCTCAGAAATTTAAAAGCATAACATTTGAAAGTATATCTTCAATTGAACCCTTAGAGTTAAGGAACATATTTTTACATATTAAATCCAACTTGCTTTAATTACCATTCTCTAAGGGATCCCAAAAGCTAGACAGTGTGCCCTGTACCTGACCTGTGGGAACTCTAAAGTAGAGAATTCTGTTCCAATGCATTCCAGCCAGAAGTATCCTCAAAGGTCCAGGCTTCAAATGTTCAAACACTGCTTTACTGAGCAGTGCTGTGCGTGGAGGTTGGTTTTGTTTTTAAAGGACCAAGCAACATCACACTATAGAGACAACCATTTTTTGTAGAAGAGTTTGCAGTGCATATACATTGTTCCACCTATGTTAAAGACTAAATGGATTTTAACATGGATATGATAGTAAAGGCCATTAGAAGATGCTGGCCGTTTTACTAACATTCCCCAAATGGGCAAAACAGGCAATGTGTGCCATTGGTTCTGTCATACTGGCCTTTGGCTGTAATCATAAAAAGTGCCCCCAAAATGGAAAAGGCAGGAAGAATAGAAAAAGGTTGGAGCTATATGAAGCAAATTTGAAAGGAGTTACCTTTACTTTTTCCTTAAGTAAATGGAGAACAGGAGAGCAGTAAGAGGCACCTGGATGTGGGCCTCCCCACTGCTGTCCCGCAGTAGATTGGGTCGCCCATGCAGTCTCATCTGAGGGCGAGAGACTGCACTCCATGTGAGAAGAGCCAGTTCTCTAGTGGAAGAGTCCAAGGCAAAACAAAACAAACCACAAATTAAATACATGACACTGAAATCACTGGTAAGAAAACAGGACACAAAGATACTTAAAAATATAAATAAATACATTTAGCCATTTTTATTCAAGAAACCCAGAGAACTGCTTACAAAGCAATTTCTTTAAAACCACTTTCTAAACTCTTCCATAAATACTCGCTATTCTGATTGTCACTTAACGCAGCACCTGTGTTTGCTGGTGGTGGTGATGGAATTTCACTTAATCTCTTCATAAACTATATCCTATTTCAGTAAAGGACATTTCCTTAGGAAAACCCAGGCAGCTTACAAAATATGTTAAATACTCAAAATAACCTGCAAAGTATTTTATTTAAGAAAAACAAGGAATGTAGTGTTAAATTATGACACGGGGGAAATATGCAAAACAGTCACATGGAAAGAAAGTGTTTTAATCTTTAAATATCCACATTTGTTTAATTTGTGAGCTGTTCAATACTGTTTTAAATATCCTGAATTATAACTATACCAACAAAATTCACCCCCAGTGTTTCCACAGAAGTCATTAAAATAAGACCAGATTACACTTTTTTTCCTTTTCTTCAACCAAAGTAGTCCTTATCTCAGTCCTTTTTGTGCAAAAATATACAAGAGCAATTCAAATGGGAACGCTGAAATGACATGCTAACATTTCAGACCACATTGAAAACACCCAGGATAATTCTTGAAATGACTGTATTCTAAAATATTACTAACAATCACTTTTAGGTTAGTTCTATACATCTATTCACACTGACTCAATTTTCCTAGACTTCTGAAAATAAACAGGCTCTTTTGGTGTCCACACAATAGGCAAGATAGGTTTACAATAGTGTCTAAATGGAACTAGCATCAACAATCTCAACTCCACCACATTCAAAACAAAGTCAAAGTTCATTTGGCTACCTTGAAATCACTCCCATAAACCTACTACGGTTCACTGGATCTAAACATTTCTCAGAAATGTCATTTTAAAATTTCACCTAAGTGATGATTTGGGGATCCTTTACAAATGGTAATGCCTAAGATAAACTTTATCAAAATGAATAATTGCAATAAAGTGCTTGTTATATTTCAAAATGATGCTTTTAGACTGTGGTATGTTGTTTTAAGTGTGTGCTACTCCTACATAAAGGATCCCCAGGCATGAGAGTCTCACCTGTCTCAGAAAGCAGCAGCACTATCTTTTGGTAGGCTGACAAGAGGCACATTACCCATGCGGACGAGGCTATACTAGTGCTATGGCAAAGGGGGAGGAAATTAGAAAAGTGGGAGGCATGTGAAGGGTGGTTCCTACTATATTCATAGTTATATACAAATATATTAAATATGCTATAAAAATAGTCGACTCTTTTCCTTTGCAATTACTTCAGAAGCTCCTTTTAGAAGAATGCTCACCCAACCCAAACAAACTTAAAAGGTTCTTTCTCAATCACTACTAAAATGGCAAGTGCCGTTGTGCTATTTCTTTTCCAATCGGTTTACTCCTGGCTAGACTCACTCAGCAATAGTAATATCCAGTGTTTACACCTTCCAACATTGACTCCCAGGGGCTATGAACAGGGTCACAGATATTGGAAAGGTTACAGACTTGAATGAGTTTAACACAAATGTTCATTAACAAACTTTCAATCACCAAAGAAACACAGAAAAAGAAAAAATAATACTAGAGTAAAATGCTATTTGCATTCTACTTTTAAAAAAAGTTTACCTTAATGTAGTGGAAACATTTTAAAACAGTTGAGTAATATCCAGTTAAAAATAACTTTCACCTGTCTGTAGGACCCCTACCTAAGGCTTCTTGAACAATCGTTCATCTCCCTTCAACGCACAATGCCCCTTACAGAGCTGCACTGCCTCACTGCCCCGTAGCTAACTGCAAGCAGACCGCTTTAAGGCCATGACCAGCAACCACAGCACTTCTGAAGAATCCAAATGACCATTTCACTATTCTGCACTCAGTACTAGAACCATTCAAAGTCACTGGCATCCTTTTATTACTAGTACATTCCTAAACCAGATCTAAGTGACAAAGCAGAGCACAGGACTCAAATTACCCCCTCAAGACAGGGTGTGGAGAATGAACTGTAGTATTTACTGAATGCTACCCCCATCTGCTGTATCTGCTTTTCTGCCCATAGTTTTCACTCAAAAAATAGAGTACTTTTGAGTGTCCAGGCTCAGGTTTCACACACTCCTGGCAGTAATAATTAGTCCTGGTAGCCTTCACATGTAGTAAACAATACTGACTGGTGCAGTGCCACAGCAGTCCAAAGCAAGATAACTGCAGAACAGCTAGCATTTTGCCTGATCTTCAACAGTTTCTACCTAAAAAGTGCCACCCAGAATAAAATGTTTTTTTAACAAAAAAATGACTGACTATGAGAGTAAAGCAGAAGAAAGATGACTTTTAAGTAGTTAAAAGGTGTTCCTATTTGGTGTTTTTTTCATGACAGATTTAGGATTTAATTTACAACTTTGGCTACAGAAATGAATGGAGAACAGGCAAACTGCTGAATCTTCATCAGAATGCTCAAGTCTCCATTCATGGAGCAGGGACAGCTTTGCAGCCCAAGTTCAAGAGAAGCAGGAGGAAAACAGTTAAAGGAGCTAAGAGGCAGATGCTGCTTACTAGCTCTTCCAACACAACAATGCCTACTGACAGCAGAGGAAAAGCAGCTAGCTGCTCCTTTAAATTTAGCAATCAATTCTAAGCAGGAAAAAGTGAGCTGTGAGGAACAACAGGAATTATAAATGCAAAATTTTGCCTAACTTGTCTTAGGCTTTGCTTTTGTTAATCTTAAGTACACAGTACTCATGGTCTACCATCTATCTTTCTTTTAAGTATGGTACTTGGAGGACAAACCTTAATATAATTTTCATATCTTTTATTAGCTAAATCCGTATCACTAGATATCACCAATGAATGAATGAGGCACAACTCAGATATGTATGGAATGGCATAATAAAGTCAACACAGGCAATTTGAAAGGGGAGAAAATTAATACTGTTGCCATATTTTACAACATCAATTTTCGTCTATGTGTGTGTGTGCTCAAGTACACACACATTCTGACAGCTATCCTTGACATTCATGAGAAAGTCAGAAATCTCTTCTGATCATTTAGCCAGAAGAGGAAGGAGCTCCTTGATATGTTAATTACGGATTGGTATCTAGTGACACTTCTTTTATAGAAGGGTAGGTACCAACTTTCTTTGGTTGTTTTCTTTTTCAACATTTCTATTTTAAGTGTGGCCAGGTATAGTTTTCTATAGAAAGATAATATATCCCTTAATGATGATAGCAAAGCTGAGGGCAGAAAAGTCTTAAGAACTGACTTAGAGTTCCTCTGACTCCTTTATCTAGCAATTCTGCATTAGGTCATTTTCATTGCTCAAAACCTTTTCTGTTAACAACCTCAATTCTGTTATACATTTTCTTTTCAGGTCAATTTTGACTTATTACAGTTTGCTGTTTTCCCTTTCCACAGTAATAATTTTTTATATTTTAATAAGATATTTTCCTTTGCTCTATAATTGTAAATTTAATTATTAGTACCATAGAATATATAAAATGCTTCTCTATGAATATAATTTGTTGTAATTTATTATCTTTGGAATATGATATTGCCAAATGAAATCTTAGTTCATGTTTAGAAAGCATGTGTTACAATATTCTATTGTTGTAGTAAAGGCAAAGCAAATTCCTACCCTTTTTCTTTGTAGGAATCACACTGAGCAAATATTTACTGGTAATTCTTCAGTGACTATCTAGCTTTAAAGGAAGGTGCTTAGAAAAACAATTTGCAATCATATTAATGATTCTGATAGTGTTAGGATGTCACCTTTTATTTCTAAATAATTTGTACCTCCAGCCCAAGAGACTCAAAGCAGTCTTCAAGGGAACTTAGGGGAATAATGGCACTGATACCCACATGCTATTAGAAATGGACTAAGGTTTCAAAACTGCTACTGAAACCAGACAATGAGTTCAAGATGGTGAGTTATCACCTGAATCAAAATCAAGGCACTATGGGTTTTTTTTCCCCCTCAAATAACCCTGAATCATTTCTGACTAAAAGAAGCATTGAAATTGTGAAGGATAATAAAAAGATTCCAACAAATCCTAAAAGTTAAAATTCCCACCAGTGAGAATGTTAAAAAGTGCCTAAAACGTTTTGTGTGCAAATTTCACTCCTGTAACTGAAACATTCATGAATTACTTTCAGGCTTGTTGAAAACCATTTACACAACTATTTCCAACTATGAACTATATCAAAACATGTGATCAAAACTCCCAACCTTCTAAAATAAAGCAGTGCAAATCCTATTTTCAAACATTATTGAAAAATAGTGAAATGAAGGATACTTCTGAGTAACTTGAAAATCCTGTTATTTCAATCATTTAACCTGAAAAAACAAAATCCATTCCCAGCAGCACATCATACCTCACTGAACAAACTGTGACATCACAGCCAAGTATGAACGAAAGACTTGTGCCCCGGAAAGTGAGAACACTATTGTGTTGTAAACAAAAGGGAAAACAAAGGATGTATTAGTTTGCACATGGCATCAGAATCTATGGAAATGTACTCATACCTTTAAGGAGGAGATAATGCTTTCATGCAGCATACAAAATGTTTTGCTTTCTTTCCTTTTATCCAGACATATACATAATATTTTTACAGCATCTGTACATAGAGAGTTTGAAACCATACAACATTCTGAAATTGCAATTCCATCATTATCTGAAAGGGAGAGGGGTTGAGGAAGAGGGCCTACTGGGTCTACTGGACTGTCTTCATGGCATCATTGTAAGCAAACCCCTGACGTGGCAGTGGTGTGTCCTCTGTAACACTTGAAACAGGCACAGAACCACTGAAAGTTACTAACATTGTTAGTGCCTTTCTGATTCACTGGAGGTTATATTTCATAGCTGAGCTTCTTAACATTTGGCAATATACTCTTTTTCCATCAAAAAATATCTGGGAAATTAAAACACTGTCAGAATTGGCTATGGCCATATGATCATTTCTTGCTGGCTGGTATTTAATGTACATCTGTAGCACTAGGCAGCATTTTCCCTGCTAACTAATTCAAGGAATTAGAATACTCAATACTGCATCTCACGAAACTGCTAGAACTTTTCCTCCTAATCCTCAGATCATCTGAGCAACTCTTTATGGGAAAACCCCTTCCTCCCTTGAGGTCAGAGAGGAGACATGTGCTACTGCGGCTGAACCTTGGAAGGATCGGTCAGAGTGTCAGTCCTGTGCCGACTCAGTTGCTGCTGCTGCTGCTGCTGCTGAGACTGGTGTTGCTGGTGATGTGATTGAGGGAAAGTGCTCTGTTGTAGTGGAAATGCAGCAGAGAGGATAAGCTGAGTTGAAGGGTTCCCATGGAGCAACCTAGAAGTCTAAAAACAAACGGATTATGCAACATTGCTTTACCCCCATTATGCTGTGTACATTAAGATTTGCTTAAGTTTTCCACTTTCCATTGGGACAAAATCCCTAAATTCCACATAATGGGCATTTTTGCTCTCATTTAAAAATAACATTTTGGAAAATGCTTATGAGGCTTTCCTTCATTTTGAAAATATTACAAAATTTCATTTTTTAAAGGACTCTGAGCTGGAGATTTTAGGATACAAAATGTGATCTATATCTTGAGACAAATCATGCATATTCTTTGTCTTTATATGTCCTAAAGAACACAATTTTAAACAGATGGTAAATTTTAAGCATAGCTAAGAACATATAAAACACAAAAACTAAGGTTAAATAGATAGCGCCTTTGCACAGGTTCATCCGGTTGGTAAGAGCAGCAGTCCAGTGGCTGAGCATGGGCCCTGAGGAATACTGTCTGTGTTCAAACTCTGGCTGCCCCGTTCACTTGATGTGTGACCTGGTCTAGTTATTTACTTCTCTGAGCCTTAGTTTCTTCACTTACAAAATAAAGATAATCATAGTGCCTCCCATATTGAATTTCTATGAAGATTAAATATTAACATTATTTAAAAGTATTATAAAAATGAGGACTGATAGATACTTGAGTTAGAGACTTGAGTGCTATATGTAGCAGTGTAGTGTAATAAAAAAACAAAACAAAAGGGCAGAGGATCTGAAGTCAGAAGCCCTGGATTTGAGTTTCGCTCTGCCACCGATAGCTGTGTGACCTTGGGGAAGTCTCAACTCTAGGAATCTGTTTCTTTCACCTAATTTCTAGTTCTGGAGATACAAAGGAAACTAGAGAAAAGAAAGTGAATTTTAAAAATGAAAGTCCTTCCTTACTACTGGCAATACAACTTGATGCAGGGCTCCTCATTTTAAAATGGAAACTGTGACGGGTGATGTTTGCAAATACCTACACACGTGAATAGATCCTGAACCTTAAGAACCATTAAGCTTTGTCAAGGATCTGGACAATTTGCTTTCTGTCTTTCTCATTAGGAAAAGCTTTTTTTTTTTTTTTTTTACAAGAGAGAAACATCCATTTGTTGTTCTGCTTATTTATGCCTTCATTGGTTGATTCTTTTTTCTTGTATGTGCCCTGACCGGGGATTGAACCCGAAATCTTGGGCTATCAGGATGATGCTCTAACCAACTGAGCTACCCGGCCAGGGCACGTTAGGAACAGCTTTTGAAAGATAAAGAACCCAGGATATTCATGAGCCTTACAGGGGTTACAACAGAGGTACATTTTGGAACTAGGTATTATATGTGAGAAAAGCCAAACTGTATATTTACTCTCTACATATGAGTATATTTCTGAAGGGTATTGCCTAACTTATTTTTTTAGGGATCCCATGTCTTTGGAATGCTTTTTCATTCTTTTAAGGGCCCTCATTCTGATAAGACTTAGAAGAATCAGATCTTAAGGCAAGTCCACTCCTTTGTTAAGCTTTTACTTAATTCTCACTGGATATATGTCCCCACAGTAATAGTTTATAACTTGCTATAAATTCTGATTATTAATTCATTTATAACAGTAAGTAAGCCAGTCATTAATGGCTGCAGTACAGTCTAAGGGACTATGGATGACTTGACAGAGAGATTTAGGTAACTAACCTGTTTTAGTTTTCCACATCATGAGGTTAGGAATTACATTTGGACCAGAACTCCAAGCGTGATAAACACTGTATCTGTGCCTGAGCATACAGTATAATACTAAATCTTCTAATTATACCATATGTGGTATAACTCTAAAATTGATCATTTGTGACTGGCCTACATGGATTGGTCTCTAGCACAAATCGAGACTAGCTTACATTCAAAATGGCTCCCCCTCAGCCAGAAGAGGAAAGGCTGGATTTCCAGATGTCAAAATCTGCTACTGTGCACCCCTAAGAGTACTAGAAATCTGTCCTGATTTCCTTGATGAGGATGCTGACTTAAATGGCTTTCTTCTGTATCCTTTAGAGAAGTAGATCCTGTGTGTCTGCATTTGGGTCAATGTATTTATCATTTGTGATTATAAACAGCTAGTTAATATGCCTTATACTATGTTCAGTAATTTATATCCATCTTTCACCCATGAGATAGGAACTATTAGCACCTCCATATAACAGATGAAGAAACCGAAATTCAGCAAGTTAAGTAACCTGCCAAAGGTCACACAGTAGGCAGTACAGCAGTGACTTAATCCCAGGGCAGTCTGACTTTAGAGTCCAAGTTCTTAACTATGACATATACTGCTTCCACAGTATTTCTACTCTAATATTAATGTATAACCAAAAAATCATTATGAAACTTAACTTTAAAAATAATTTAAGATAATGTCTATACTAATTTTTTTTAAATCCTGCTCTGTAGGATTTTGATATCCCTGCTCTGTAGAGTACAGAGTTTGATGGGCTGCTAGAGAAAAAAAGAGACAAAAGAAAGGTGCCTTTGCTTGAATTCCAGAAACTCTAGCTGGGGAGGGCGTTATGTAAAGTTCTTGATATGGGCAGGATGTAGCCCCTTATTCTATCCAGCAGTTTAGATAACTGGTATGTCCATGGCAGGGCTAAAAGTCTTCAACAGACTAAATAGGGAAGAACTTATAGCTAACCAGGACAAACTTTATCTTTATAGAAATTTAACTGGTACAGTAAGCTCTTATGGATTTTTCGTATCATTTACAAAAGTGTTCATTTAATGCCTAATTTCATTATATAAAATTAAATAGGTCTGGGACACTGCCCTTAAGAATTACCTGTAAAAATTGCTGTGGTGGTTGGGTCAGCTGAGCCTGAGATGGTTGCTGAACTGATGTAAGCTGCTGTTCCTGGGAGCTCTGCTGCTGCTGCTGCTGCTGCTGCTGCGTAACTGACAATGTCTGTGACTGCTGCTGCTGGGTAGCAAAAGTAGGGTAGGCAGTCACCACCTGACCCATGAGCATAGTGCTAGGTACCATGACCGCCCCACAAGCTACAGGAGCAGTTACTAATTTGGTCACAAGTTGCTGACCTTGAGAAAATCTATAAGAGGAAGAAAAGAAAAGAGAAGTCAGAAATATAAAATATGTATTATAAAAGGCAGTGGCTGAATACTTCTCTAATATAATTCCCAATGATATTGCCAATTTAGTTTTTTTAAGGCTGTAAGTTCAAACTTTGTTTCATGTTTTTAAAGATTCCTTCTGAGATATCAGCAAAAGAAAAATGTGTATATAGTGCCCTGAGTGGTGCTGCACAATGGTTAGAGCATTGGCCCCCGCACCAAAGGGTTGCAGGTTTGATCCTGGTTGGGGCACATGTGGGAGGCAACTAATTAATGTGTCTCTCTCACATTGATGTTTGTCTCCCTCTCTCTCCCTCCCTCCCTCCCTTCCTTCCACTCTCTAAAAAAATCAGTGGAGAAAATACCCTTGGGTAAGGATTAACAACAACTACTACAAACGTGTATATAGCAAAATGAAATGATCACACAACCTGAAACTTTCCTTGCATAGCCACATGCAAAAGAATGAAGCTGGACTCTTATGTTACACTATATACAAAAATTAACTCAAAATAGATTAAATGCCTAAGCATAGAGCTAAAACAATGAAGCTCTTAGAAGAAAATGTAGGGGAAAAGTTCTGTGAAACTGGACTGGGCGATAATTATATGGATATGACACTAAAAGCACAGGCAACAACAAAAAAAATAAACTGCACATTAAAATTTAAAACTTTTATGCATCAAAGGACACTATCAACACAGTGAAAGGATAACCCACAGAATGGGAGAAAATATTTGCAAATCATATATCTGATAAGGGGGTAATAACTAAAATACATAAAGCAATCCTACAACTCAACAAAAAAATTATCTGATTTTAAAAATGTGTCTTTCTCCAAAGAAGACAAATGGTCAATAAGCACATGAAAAGACGCTCAACATCACTAACCATTAGGGAAATGGAAATCAAAACCACAGTGAGATATCACTTCATACCCACCCACCAGGCTGGCAATCATAAAAAAAAAAAAAAAAA